AGAATTCATCCCATCCAACATTCCAAAAGCAACAGTTTCTATAAGAAACTAAAAGAGTTACTCAATAAAATGACTCAGGCTTATTAGGACACGCATCCCTCCAAAACAGCACTTGCAGAAGGAATTTCAACAAGATTTTCAGAGATAGCTTCTGTCTTTTGTGGGAGTTTCTCTGGCCCATGAGCAGCACCCAAATACCACAGTGGCCCTTCTATATTACATTTGGAATCTCTGGTAGCCTGAATCATGACAGACATAAATATTCATCCTAGCCATGGCATGCTGGGACAGCTTCACATACTACAGAAGTTGCTGGGTATGAAAATAGAAGACTTTGCCCAGTTGTGGTGGGCAACTCGAGCATGATATTGGATGATTGAGAAATCAGTACTGATGAGGCCAAACATTCCTTTAACACCAGGGATTGCTACTGGGGCAGGAGGCTTTAAACCAGCTACTGTGATTCAGACGTGGTCAGCTGAGTTGCCTTTACTGAAAGGACTAAGCAAAACGAGACACTCCCCCTGCCCCATGGCACTATTGAGAACAAAGAAACACTGACCATAGAAAGGTAAGGGGACTGGGATATAATCAGGCACTGCCCTGGGGACTGACTAAGGCAGGACCTTCCATCCCAAATTATACAGGACTCCCAAATTAAAGGAATATTATGATTTAATGAGTGAATGAGTAAAACAAAGTTATTTTTGAAAATCTGTGAAACTGTCAGCTACGTAAGCTAACACAAAGCCAAACTCTGGTTATGTAAAGACCTTTTGCCAAGTGGCAGGTTTCCTGCTTTGCCTCTTCCTGAGCTGTGGTGAGGTCCCTACGTGGGCCTCGGTCAGGCCCCTGCTGGAGGCATTGCACACAAGTGCTCAGAGGCCCCCAGAGCTCTGCTTTTGTTGCTGCCACTTTCTTCTAACAACAGACTCAGCTCGGGATCCTGTGTGGCTGGCTTCTGCATGCAGTGGATTTTTCCATTCAAGTTTCAAAGTTGAACATGGCTCAAGAGTACAGTTCCTGCTAAAGTTTATAAATGCATTTTCTCTTTGCAAAAAAACTATTTTGAGAGGAGTTTTCCTTGGAGCTTCAGCATCCAGCTGTCGCTGATGTATAAAGCACAAAGCTCTAACCACAAACACATCACAAAGAAAGAAAGCAAAGGGCCGGCCGAGTGGCGCGATGGTTAAGAACTTGCTTGGGACGCCAGAGGGCCCCGGTTCGGATCTCACATATGAGGGCCAGTGACACTGCCCTCCACAGCTAAGATGCTGAACAACAGCTCAACCTGGAACTGGGCTGCTGTGAGTCGCCGGCGACAGCGTAGGCTGCAGCCCCTGTGGCAGTGGGTTGCCATGGGCTACCGTATGTAGCCAGCAGCCAGCATGAGCGGCCAGCAGCCAGTGTGAGCGGCCATCCAGAAGCCGGCGACTGATGTGCCTCACCAGGGAAGAGCGCAATGATGGTGCCAACTTGAGTCAGTGAAGCAACGTCCTCCACAACTAGACTGAAGAACAAAATGACAGCAACTTGTCTGTTCCCCTTCCCCAATTCCCCAGCGCTGTTCCCATCCCCCAATTCCCCAATTAAAAAAAAAAAAAGAAACAAATGAAGGTTCTGGCTTTCAAGGCACCAGAAAGGTACCATAGAAAGCATGCTTTTGAACCCATATAGGCTTCCAAACCTCAAAATTGCCACTACACCCAGAGAGATCTTTGTTGGAGGCCATTAATATGAGATAGCACCTAAAACATTGGAACAGTATAGAAGAAATACCCTTATTACCAATATGAATATTGCATATGAATAAAACAAAAAGGAACTGCAGAACAGATTGTGACACTGGAAAAAACAAAGACAGTTATAATACTCACAGATCTGCTCTCCGACTATCTTTGAGGGCTTGGTAAGTGGAGAATGCTGTTCTCTATCTGATTAAGTTATGCTACTTATTTTCTGAGAAGGTACTATATGTTAGGCTCTTTATATATGTCCTAATAATCCTCAGATCAGGAAACTGAAATTCAAAGAAATCTTTAAAAAAAAATCTTGAAGTCACATAGCTAATTAATGATGAAACTTTGATTAGAACCCCATTTAAAGAATAAGCCAGAGCAACTAGTAATTGAGATGAATCTAAATTAAGGACTAATGAAACTATTTAAAGTAAAATTCTTTATAAAACAATAGAAACACAAGCCAATGGGGTGACTGTATGTCTCAATTTGTCCCCAACAGTCTCAGGTTATGCTTGTTGTCCTTGTAGTTATTAATATCCCTCAGTCCCTTTACCCTCATAAATGTTTGGAGGGTAATTACATAAGCACCCTACATAGTAACGTTGCAATATGACATAGTAGAGAGCTCAGGAATATGGTAATTAGAGAATGGAGAAAACAACCAAATTGAAACATTTTTCTACCACTAGGGTCTCAACAATTGCAGTTGTACCCTTTGCTGCTCTAAGACAGCATGTCAGCATTTCCTTCCATTTTCTCTATTTTTAGTAAAGCTCAGCTATAAAATGCGGCTTTTGCCAGAAAGTACGAGTACATAGAGAGTGCAATTCCACATTATAAAATTGGGATTGAGGAATATGGATTCTGTTGGCATTCTTGAGTTCTTGTTTCTGGGCCTGATTTCTGGCTGAAGAGATCTCTGTAATCAGAACTCATTCAAATCTCTGATTCTCCCAAGGTACAAGGTGTTCTCTCTCGTGACTTCATTGTATGTCATATATTTAAATATTACTTCATTGAGTAAAATGTATGAATTATTCTTTCCATTAAGGATAATCTTGAAGATAATCTTGTTTTCAACAGCATCACAGAATGTTAGTGATGGAAGAGAGTTCATAGGTTATCTAGTGTCATTTTTGTTTAATTTGCAAATAAGAATATAAAAACTCAGCGTGATTTGTCCATGGTCATAGACTTAATTAGTGGTAGAGTTAAAAATAAAATGTATAATCTCTTATGGGAAAAGATGGAATAAAGAAAGTCTTACAGATAGAAGAAATGCTAAACTGAATAATTCAACACTTTACAAAAGTTTTCATTAGTGAGAAATTTGAGCCTGCTACTCTGATTTCTGTTACAATTTTCTGTTAGTATATATATGTAGCTAGATTTGACAACTATCACCCAAGTAATCAAGATATATTTCTGAATGCTTTTGGTCAAATCTTGGACAACATCAGGAACTCTATACATGTAAATCTCAAAAGAGATGAGAACCAGATATGACAAAGCTAAGTTGTACGAAGTTGCTTTTTTTATCCATCTTTGAGCCCAAATTAACATTTTTTCCGTATCAGTCATCTTCTGAACCAGATGATGATCATCAAGTTGTTGGTGTTTGTTTTCTCCTTCTTTTATCCTAATTAAGCATGAAGTATGGCTTTGTTCTGCTTTTTATCTCTGTACTGAAAATGCCAATGAGAGCTTTAAATAACACTGGCTTTCAGTGTATGAATTCTCTATTAACACAGCAACTGGAGTAAAAAAAAATTATATTATTTCCTATTGAAATGTGCTTTTTTTCTTATTAACTTTGCAGTTTGAGGATTGCCAAAGGATGCAAGATTTATTGTATGGCTTCAACCAAGAAGGGCGAATTTTAATATAAAATTAGATCAGAAGGCTCCATTTAGGAAAATGTGCGAAGTTTGATTTTCTATCTCCTTAAATCTATACATATAGAATAAGTTTTCCAAATGTATTTAAAAATTTTAATGAATAGAACTTCTTAAAATGTTAACCTCCTGATTAGAAAACAAATATTTAGATAGAGTAATTTTTATATAGCGTTAAATGATATGTACTTTTATTTATTGATTTGTTTATTTTTGGCTAATGATCATTTAGTGTGTTCTAATTTTTCTAAAACTTTATATTCTTAGTAGCACTTAGAACAGTTCATTATCTACAGTGGGGTTTAATATTTGCTTAACATCTTATC